TTTATGTGCTGCAGAACAGGAACCTGCTGTAAAACAGCAATTATGCTGAGTCAGGCTTGATTTTTAATAATCTTTTCCTGTTAAAAAAATAAATCAAATCAAATAAAAAAACTACTATCCTGCAGCAGAGCATCAGCTGTTCGGGTTTATTAAATTAAATAAAGTTTTCAGGACCTTTTCAGGAATTTACTGAGAAAGTATCACTTACTGTGAGAAGTATAATTATTGAAAAGTAGAAAATGAGACATTTTTTGTTCCCCTCCTCCTCTCAGACAGCAGCTTAAAATCAGAATTCTCTGTTTTAAACAAGAATCCCAAACCGGTCGCCACGATGCTGCTGTGCCTCTAGTTTCCTCACAGCTTCAGGTAAAATATTGTGATTTATTCTCCTGCTGGGTAATGAGCTGCTCTTAAAGCCGGTGGTTGTATTTCTGCCCAAAAAGATGGGTTTTTTTTCTTTTTTTGTTTTGTTTTGTGAAACCAGAGAAGCTGCATCACTGTTGGGTTTTAATGGGCAGAGAACATTTAGCTTCCCTCCCTCCACTCATGTCTTTCCTTTTAGTATTCAGATGCTTTGCTTCTGTTTGTGTGTTTATTTCTGCTGCGTACACACACAGGTGTGTATTCTCTGACTGCTCACTGATCACAGTTTGTGTGAYGTCAGCTGCTCTCGTCTGTTTGTAGCAACTTTAACCAATCTGAAGGTTAACGAAGCTTAGAATAAAATAAAAAGTTAAGGGCCTGATGTAACCTTTACCAGCTCAAACACTCTGACGTAAAGCATCTTTATGGTGTAAAACGTTATAATTTAAAAATATAAACCACTYAACACCTTTTAGTGCTGTACGGAAGAGGATTAGGGCCACTGGAAAAATAAAAAAAAGGAATTCTGTGAAAATTTCTGTGAAAAAAGCCAAAATTTCTGAAAAAAAAGTCAAAATTTCTGAGAAAAAAGTCAGAATTGTGAGATTAAAGTCAAATTTTCTGAGAAAAAAGTCAAATTTTCTGAGAAAAAAGTC